TGTTCGCGCGACGCGAAGCGAAAACCGAAATCCGGCAACGTGATTGGTCGGCGAAAAAATTCGCGGCGGATTTAACTACACAACTTAAATAGTGTATAAATAAACAACATTTAAACTGACTCGATAGTACTGACATCTAATATCCAATTCATCAAATTTCAATTCCCAAGACATTTCCTCAGAAAATTTATTGAAGGGCCGGGCCTAACCGCTAAGATAAAGAATAGAAAATGGACAGCTCCAACATTACTGTGATCACAGAAACTTTGATAGTGTAAAACTGGTACTATTGCAATATTTTGGAGGTAAGTATAAACAATGATGTCATGCAGGTGTCTATACTGTATATACCTTCAGCTACACCCCAGGGGTAAACTCTCGCTCTCAGCTTTTTTCCTCCGACTTCCACGACAGTGTTACTCCCTACCACAGCAAATGGTATCCTATCCTGGGAAACAAATGGACTGGTTACATTTCAAGTTTTACTATATCTATATATTTGTATTAAATTCCCGCGCTTAGAGCTAAATTGTGAAGGACGGTCAATCGAATAGAAGGCTTTCTGAGGGCGCCTCTGGCAGCCACCTCATCACTCATGTCTGATCACGAAGCACAGCTATAGTGGAAGAGTCAGTTAGGCCCGTTTCAGACGGCGTACTCTTAATGTGCCGAACTTAATTGTATTAGATGCGACACAAGAACGGCAGTGATTCAAACGGCGTACTAAATACAATGTTATTGGCAAGGTTGGGCGCATTCGCCAGCGAAACCTCAATAAAATTCAAAATAAATAAGTTTATTTTTAGACTAAAGTTGAATTAAGTTTGGCACATGAGTGGAGTGGCGTATGAATCAATGTCGCTCCGACGTCGCATAATGCGACAAGCTCTGCCGAACTTGTGTCGAACTTTTGCCGCTCCAAATTCTGCCGTACTTAATTGATTCATACGTCGCTCTTCTGCCGTACCTAATTCATCAATTAAGTTCGGCACATGAGAAGTACGCCGTCTGAAACGGGCCTTAGGGGCAAATCCTAACCCACCCTGCTACCCACGACTCAGTTACGGTAGAATAATCAGGATTCAGGGCTCAAAATAACGGCCGGTCAACGGACAATGACCAGCCAAAAATGCCTCTTGACCAGTCACTTTTTTACCTCGCCGGCCATTTTGACCGGCCACATATTACGGAGGATAAAATTTTATTAAATATATAGACAGGTATATAATGCCGGTTCCGTCGTAATCTTTCAAATTTACGCACCGTGCAGACGGGCAAGTTTTCCATGACAAGTTTAATTTGAAAAAAGTAGGATCGCTTCCTACTTTTTATCTGTTCGCGCGAATAAATTCGCCTAGTGGAGAACGGGCTTTAATCAGTCGACTGACATTATGACGTCATTATCGGGAAGATTGTTGCACGAATAATCCGCGATAATTTCCGATCGTGGCACAATCGGCCAATCACTATTTTATTCTGCTTTTAAAACTTCGGGCATTTTAAATGGCAAAAAATCCAAATAAATTTAATGTGCTAAAGAATTCTTACCAGTGCCCATTTGGAGCTATAAAGTATAAGCAACAATGCACTCTGTTGTCTACAATTGCCGATCTGTTGACTCGCGATTCTTCATTTAAATATTCCTCGAATTTTGATTCAATATAAGAACTTATTGGACTCCAACTGAAAAAAGAAAGGATGACATATTGGCACATGCAATCTTTAATACACAAACACCCAATACTTTCCTCTTGACAAAACAATGTCTGGCATTTCACAGGGTAAAAAACACAGTAACATGTACTGAAGACTGAGTCGTTGTGGGGTGGGGGTGGTTTGGGGGAGGGAGTGAGTGGAGGAGGGGTGAGTGAGGGGAAGAGGGGTGCAGATGTAAAAAAAATTTAGTTTGTTTTTTTCCTAGTACATTCAAGAAGCTGGTCAGTGGCGAAATCTTGTGGGGTAGGGTTTCAATCTTCACGAAAATTGATGAATTTTCAGAAATTGTGACCCAAAAGAGGGCCAAAACAGTCTCTTTCGAGCGCAAATGGGGCATGCTGTCGGAAATTTGAAAGTTTTGTCAGAAATTTAGGAGGCTTTGCCCCCCTCCAAAGGAAAAAGTGAATTTCCGCCACTGAAGCTGGTATTTGCAACTAAAATTTCATGACCACACGTTGTTGCAGCTTGTAGCACGTTACATCTCCACTCATATGCATAATCTAAATCATTGATTCTAAGTTCAGGGTAAGATGCAACATACATACCAGTCAGTATTATCAACTGCATCACCAAACCCTGGCGTGTCCACACATGTTAACCTTAACGTGACACCACCTTCTTTTAGTGTTACTGTGGATGCCTGCACCTAAATTTAAAAAAAAAGAAGTACATCAGAAATAAGATGATATTAATTAGAAAGAAAATTCTGTTGGCAACGCATGTTGGCCTCTACATAAACTGCACACATTCATAGACTATGGGAAATATTACCTCTGTTGTTTTAGCAAGTTTTTCTTCAGTTGTAGGAAATGTTGCAGCTGTGTAGAGATCCGTCAGAAATAGTGAGTTTAATAAAGTTGATTTTCCAAGACCAGATTCACCTGAAAACAGCATTAGAAAATGGATGTTTGTTATTAGTATCATTAAAGACCATGTAAAGTCCGTAATGTAACAAACGCTTGTAAACAAACGCTTTGTTTACATCTTGAACTCAGTGCTACAGTTGTAAAATATGATTAGATATATATTATACTGAATTTTTAACACTCTTCTGGTTCGCTATGCTTGTAAATGAATACAGACTAGAGATTCAATTCAAGAAAGTTCAAAAGATACAAAATATTAATAACATTCCAACGGTGGGGTCCCGACCATTGGAATGTAAGCCTGCGCAAAACCACAGCAGAACGTATGCGCAGAACAGACTTTACATGGTCTTTAAAGCCAACCATGTACACTTTGATCAACCATATACTGAACAGAAGAATCTTCTTGGGGTACAAGGGGTCAGGCCTTGTCCTGACAAATACAAATGCACTTGACAGATAATGCTCTGCAGCAACCCAAGGTGCTTTTTTGGGCACCTACTTAAACCAAGAATCAATGACACATTTCTTGTTGCACTTAAGGGTTGAGAAATCCCTGTATAATTAACCCACTGAATGTCAGCACTCTCCCATTGATGAGTAAAATCATTTGGTGTTAGGGACCGGTCATAAGTAAAACGGGGGGGGGGGGCTGAGAAAATCATATATTTGGTGTCTGCACTTTTGGTAGCCCACCCCTTAATAGCTGCACAAAAATTTGTAGCCCACCCTTAAATTGGTGCTGAAAAATTATGACCCACCCCTTTTCCAATTTTTCCAGAAAATTTTTTTTTCGGACAATAACCACATGGTCCACCCTTATGATTGCACTTAACTTTCGATGACCCACCCCTTCAACCGTGCTCAAAAATGGTGACCCACCCCCTATTTTTCCCAGCCCACCCCCCCTTTTACTTTATGACCGGTCCCTTAAGATAGAATGAATCATAGCATAAGGAGCATTAAGATGGAACCCATATCTTGTTAAGGACATACATGCAATTGAGAAAGTACAAAGACGAGCATAAAGGCTTGCTTTGCGTCAAAAGAGATGGCGTACGAAGAAAGATGCCAGATCCTGGGGTGGACAACACTTTCCATACGGAGGGATTATTTATCATTACTTGAATGCTACAAAATTGTCTTTGGGCTATGCCAGCTAAAGTTCTCGGCCTTTTTTGAATGGTCTAGAGTAAAGTCAACTAGAGCAAATCACACATATAAACTATGTGTTAAGGCAAGTAGAGTGAACTGTTACAAATACTACTTTTTGTAAGGACTATCGGCTTGTGGAACGCTTTGCCAAAATATGTTCTAGAGGCTAATAACTTTTCAGCGTTCAAAAAAGCCCTGAAGGCCTATTTAAAGATCTAATTTATTCATATATTTGTATTAAATTGTAATTTTAATTAGTAATTTTAATTAGTAATTTTAACAATTATTTTTTTTAAGGAAGTTTAATATAGGGATAACCTCAAACTTTCCTTTTCCTCTGTCACTATAATTGCATGCTTCAGTTTCATTGTGAATAAACCTTTATTGTATTGTATTGTATTGTAAAACTGTAAATTGCAGCTGAAAATTTCAGCAGTAAAACAGCCAAAGTCAGAGTGAAGTACCGGAGTTCGCATAGCACTAAATGGCAATTACTTAATGGGTTAACATGCGCAGATGGTCTGATTAATCCATTGAGCACCAGCACTCTCTTCTTGACAAGTAAAATCTTCTGGCTTTAGACAAAGTAGGGCATATTAGGGTGCAGTCAAATGCGATTTATTGTCCGGACAATCCAATTAGCAGTCAATCCCTAAAATAAACTTGATATGCCCTTAACCCATTGAGTGGCAGCACTCTACCCAACAAGTAAAATCATCTGGCATTAGACAGAGTAAAATAATAAAGTAGGGGCATGTCTGGGTGCATTGCCACTTAAAGGGTTAAAATAGTTTCTTCATCATAAAAAATGGTGTTTGACAAAAGGCGCATCCACATCTTTCTGAGCAAGATGTGCAAGGGGTACATAATTATAGATTTGCTTTATTAGCCCCACAATTGCTGTTGCTTTTTCGTTATGCTATATTGCACATCACAAAGTGCATGACAAATTATACCAAATGACAATTGTGCTATTTAGATGAATGACATTTTAGCTACTGTAAAATGACAGTTTTGCTTGTTCCATTATACAGGTTATACAGAGCAACAAAGTGCACTGGGCCGGTGTACACTGAAATAATTAGCCATACTGTTCAAAGCAATGCTTTGAGTAAAATTACCAATACTTGGCCAATGCACACTGGAAATGCTGGAACTCAGATAGGGTACATGTTCTGGAAATTCTGCACTCCACCTGTCAGATAAACTCGGATGGATTTCAGGCTAATAAATGTTTGTCAAAATGACATATTAAATTAATTTCCTTAGTTTGCATGAAAATATAGCAGTTTATAGGGCACCATGCTTATATTTAAATAACAGCACATGCACCTTCAAATGGGGTGTGTTTTAAAGAAATTATTTGCTCTTTGGCACTACAAAGTTAAGTCTGGACTAGTATAAGCACAAGATATAATAACAACATATTGATGCATGACACATGATTCACAAAAGTAAATGATTTTACTTGTCAAGCAGAGACTTGAACATACTAACATAATTGGTTAATTGGGAATTTTTTTAATGCGAAAGTCGTATTTTATTATCGAAAGCATGGGCCACGAGGAGGCACTTATTAAGACAAACACACACAACATATTGAATGGCAATGCATGACTAATTTATA